AATACATTATAACTGTATCAAATTTGTTTGACTACAATGACCTTTCCTTAAATGAACAATTAATACTTGCTGCTTGCATATAATAATAATCACCAACTATGGCACAATTTTTAACTAAATCAACTTTTTATTGAAAGGACTTTGAAATTTGATTTTTTTTTATTCAAATGTTTAATGTGATTCTTACAAAATCAAAATTTTAAAAATCCATCTATAAATTGAACTGATGTTGGACAACTTCCCAACAACCTTTTTCCTGATATACCCTTTGCCAACAATAATTGCCCGACAAAACATATTCCTGAATGAACATTTTACTAACATGACACATTCCCTAGTGGACATCCCTATAAAAAAAGAAAATTCGGAATTTGTCCTGAAAAGTATGGAAAATGTCCAGAAATTTTCCGTGCGTCCGGAAAACATTCGGAAACGGTCACGTTTTGGAACACTTTCCGGACGCAAAAATTCCAGACATTTTCTTGACACTCCAGAATTTGTCCAGAATTTGTCCAGAATCAAGCGTCCAGAAAATGTTCCAAAACATGACCGTTTCCGAATGTTTTCCGGACGCACGGAAAGTTTCCGGACATTTTCCATACTTTTCAGGACAAATTCCGAATTTTCTTTTTTTATAGGGCATACATTATACTGACATGCTATTTTCCCTGATATGACATTATCCCAACAACACATATCCTGACAGACATTTTCCTGACATGTTAAAAATGATTTGCAAAAAGTAATTTTTTACTGTAATAATGTATCATGTTTATAAATATAAATATAATTCTCTTACATGCTATCACAACTAAAAATTCAAAAAGATTAAATTTGTAAGGAAACAATTTGAAAAAAAAACAACAAATCTTAACACAGAGATCCTTTTCATGTCAAGATATGTTGACCCTCTAAAAAAGCCATTTTTATATTCCATCTCATTCCGTTAAAGGCTCATATTTCTAGAATTAATAACCTTATTATATCACAAATTATTTACATTTTCCGTGAATGGATCTGTAAAAGGCAAAGGGTATGTCAGGAAAAAGGTTGTCAGGAAATCGTGGTGTAACCAAATTGAATCTGTATTATTTGATTTTCATCAGGAAATATTCAATGTGCAATTTATGCATAAAAAAATCACAATAAATGCAAAATCTTGTTGGAATTGCTAGTTTAATTGTGTACCCTCAAAATACATATTATTTGCATATTTAGTAATGTAATTTTATCAATAAATTAATAATAAAGGCATATTTAAATTTGAATGTATTTAGGTATTTGAATATAGCTTTAAACTTTAAAAGGAAAATATTTTATAAAATAAATATATATTCTTTTACTTTTTGTATTTTGCATAATTCCAATTTTTTGTTATTTATATAAATTTGACTGAATTCATTATTTTATCAATAAATTAATAATAAATTATATACATTTGAATGAATTCATTATGCATTTAAATATACTAATTTATTCACTTGTACTATATATCTATTATATCATTATTCATAAATACATTATATATTTGTCTTGTAAGGAAGTAGTCTATAAATAATTATTATTAATTAATATTAATTAATATGTAAAAATTTCTGCAGGGAAAATTAAGAATTTGTCTCTAACTTTTTCATAATTCTGCAAAGATTCTATCATTTGAAGTAAATCCAGAAGGCTAAAAATGCATCCTGATAAGTATAATTGGTATCTTAATAAGCCTTACTCAATTTTTTAAATAAAAAATGACAATACCTATTTTTTATTACATAGAGATTATTCCTTAGAAAGTGATAAAATTAAACAGTATTAATATTATCACATGTATCTATAGGTGATACTGTTCTTCATTTGCCTATTATAAGAAAGAAATTATTAGTAGTGCATCAATTTTATTTAGTGATAAAAGAAGGTACATAGCCAATTCCTCCTCCAGAATTAGCAGACTTGTATCAACTACAAAATTAGGGTGCCCAAAATGAGAACAATGGATTGGTTACCAATGATATCAAGATCAGTAATTCTCCTAAGCCGAAACGCATCCAACTTAGGAGTTACCCTAACTTTGCAAAATAAAAATGACGCACCTTATTTTTTATTACAACATGAGTTTCCTGATTAGACAGAGATTTTTCCTCCTTTAGAAAGTGATAAAGCCAAACATTATCAAGATTATTACATGATCTTTTAAATATTCAATTAGAACTAAATAGAAGTTAGTTAATAACTATAAGTATCTTTGAAAAGAAATATTGCAAAATGAATTATTTTAAATAGTTAATATAAAGAAAGAAAGAATAAAAAAATAGTAATTTAAGAATAAAAAAAATAGTAATTTAAGAATAAAAAAGAATAGAATAAAAAAAAATAGTAATTTTATACCCAGGAATACCATAGACAGAATGATCAATCACTTCATTTCCGATTATAATCAATTTAAGAATAAAAAAAATAGTAATTTAAGTTAATGAAAAATTAAAAGTATTTTAATTATATATATATTTGTAGGCTGTAATGACATATTGGTGTTAATAATTGCATTGAATTACATTATTTTGACATATTGGTGTTAATAATTGCACTGAATTACATTATTTAAACATGATAGTTCAGTTTAAAATAATTTTATATAAATTATGTAGTAGGCTGACACATTGATATGAATAAGAAGTACATTATTAGTCAAATTAAATAATGTAATTAAATATTATTATATATTCTTTGTTAATATGAGTCAATATTACCATGCATTTATCAGTAATTAATGAAGAAGTAATATATTTCATTGTAGGCAGCATGACTTAGGCTGACACATTGATGTAAATAATCCTGAATCAAAAGTCTTTATAGTCACAGTCACAAAAGTGTCACAATTAATATGAAAAAAAATACTATTGCATTTCATTACATTATTTAATATATATCTTTTTAATTTGTATTTTTAACTTTCTTTTTCATAAATATATTACTACCAAAAAAATTAATATTAACCAAATGATTACAGTATTTAAAATTTCATTCATGTCACTATCCTTTTTTTCTCAAAGAAATACAAGAATGAGACTTGAGAAAAGGAATATGTTATAACTGTATCAAATTTGTTTGACTACAATGACCTTTCCTTAAATGAACAATTAATACTTGCTGCTTGCATATAATAATAATCACCAACTATGGCACAATTTTTAACCAATTTATATACTTTTACATATGCATTAATATATTCTTTAAAAAAAATTAATTAAAAAAATATGGATGTTTTTTTATATTTGATTTAATGACTTCAAAACCTGCAAAACTACCTAATATTGATTTTTTTGTGATTTTTTCAAATTTTTCAGTTTAAGTTAAATAACTCCACAAAGATGCTTTAAAATGATCTGTGGCGCCCCTAATCATATATTCTGAAAGTATACACTGTGTTTATTTTTAGATTATTAAGTAAAATCAGGTTTTCAATTAATCTATAGTTCATTTGTGGACTAGCAATTAACATGTAAAATTTGTAGGTACAGTATATAATATATATAGTATAATAATAAACTATAGATATTTTTTATCTCCTGTATACAAAGATAAAAGATTATTATATGAAAATTTAAATAGTTATAAAAAAGTTTTTATGAAATGAAAAAGCTGGAGAAAAAATTTGTGTAAATAATATAGTTAAAGAAAATTTTACAGGGAGTAAAGTATCTTTAGATAATAGATTAAAAGATTAGTTAGTAACTAAGTATCACAAGTTGAAAATAAATATTAAGAGTTAAAGTAATTTTCATTAGACTAGTACTATTTTTGCCAGGATATATAGTTGCTCAAATTAGTTTGATATATAAGGAATTTAAAATATAGTAATAATAAATTGAAAGTATTATGTGAATAAAGAAAAATTTTTAATAAATTGTTAAGAAAGAATAAAGAATAAAAGAATAGAATAGTAAAAAGCAAAAGAACAAGGAATTTTATAAAAAAAATTAAAGTATTTTGTTAGAAATAGAAAGAATAAAATAAATAATATTTTTAAAACTTAATAAATTTAGACTATTAATATATTATTATAATACTAAAAATGCAATATATGCTAAACTAAATATTTTAAATCTTATTATATATATAGTTCATTGGCAGATTTCCATAAAATGTGACGAAAACCAATTACTAATATAACAAATCCCTTTAACTTATTAGGTTTAGATTTTGTTATTTTAACACGCTCATCAAATACTCCTGAGTTAGAATAGTTTATAGCTTTTCCTTTTGAAATTATTTTCATATATAAATTTAATTGATTCAACCCTTTATTTAATGTTTCATCTATAGTTGTTAAATTCATTTTTTTTTCTTCCTTTGACCAATATGTATATGATCTTTTTAATACAGATTCTTCATTTTCCTTTTCAAGTATTTTATCTAGATTTTCAAGTTCATTTGCACCAAAATTATTTTTCTGATTACTATTGATAAGTCCAACTAATGGTATATATTTTAATTCTAAAATAACATTATTATCTCCTTCACTACTTAAAATAAAAATATCTGAATAACCAAAACAATCTGAACCTTTTTACTTTTTACCATTAATTACTAATGAAAGTTCTGGAATACAATACTTTAATGGCAAAAGATTTTCTACAATTGCTTGAAGTACAGGTTCATTTGCTGATGATAGAGACATTCGTGATCTTGATGATAAAAAAGTTTTCAAAATTTTAATAAAAGGTATGATATTATCTGCAATAAGACTTTCATATGCTGAAGCAACAAGAAGTGCATTATCTACAACTTGGATATATGCTGAATTATTCTTGTTTTGCTTTAGAATTTGGCTTTGTTTCTTCCAGTGTTCTAATGGATAATTATCAAATATAATTTAAAAATATATTACTTATGAAATAGTATAAACATTATAATAACTTACCATTGGATAAACTTTCTGTATCAGTATTATCATCTCTTACTCTTTTTAGCTCTCCCTTTTTTATAGAATCTGATTGAGAAATTTCAGATGATTTTATATCAGATGTTTTATTTAAGTGAGATGTAACATCAGGGGCCAAATTTTCTTTTTTATGTTCCTTAATAATCCTATCTGATTGTAAAATTTCAGATGATTTTATACCAGATATCTTATTTAAGTGAGATGTAACAGAAGGGGCTAAGTTTTCTTTTTTATATTCCTTAATATCTGGTTGAGAAATTTCAGATGATTTTATATCAGATGTCCTATTTAATGTAATAGCAGAGGCTAAATTTTCTTTTTTATATTCCTTAATAATCCTTTGCCAGAAATTTTGCAGAAACTTCATACAACGAAAGTGTTCTTCATTTACCTATTTATAAGAAAGAAATTATTAGTAGTGCATCAAAATTTATTTAGTGATACAAGAAGGTACATAGCCAATTCCTCCTCCAGAATTAGCAGACTTGTATCAACTACAAAATTAGGGTGCCCAAAATGAGATCAATGGATTAGTTACCAAAGATGTCGAGATCAGTAATTCTCCTAAGTCAAGACGCAGTCAACTAGGAGTTACCCTAATTCTGCAAAATAAAAAATAACACACCCTATTTCTTATTTCAACATAAGTTTCCTGATTGAATAGAGATTTTGCCTCCTTTAGAAAGTGACGAAACCAAATAGCATCAAGATTTTTAACTGTATCTGCAGATGATATTGTAGTAGTAATAATATCACTGCTATTATCCAAAAATCCACGATATGATGATTTATTACCTCGTTCTTTTAGATAAGAAATTAGAACTAGATATGAGGTTGAAGGTTAGTTCAAAATATTTATTAATTATATTGAAGCACTTTTCATAAGACTAAGACTTACCATTTTGTCCAGGATAATTGCTCATATTGATTGGATTCAATTTAAAGAATAGATTAATAAATTTTTAAGAAAGATCAAATTGTCAAAGAGTAAATTAATAAATTTAAATTATTGAAGTAAGAACATATAGGATGGGTATTTATATATATTTACAGGCAGTAAGACTTGGAATGACATATTAATGTTAATAATTGCATTGAATTATATCATTTAAACATGATAGTAGTATTTGGGCTGACACATTGATGTGAATAAGAAGTACATTATTAGTCAAATTATATAATATAATTAAATAAAATATTAATATATCAGTCAAAATCATATTGTCTATTTTTTTCTTTAAAATGTATTACATATTCTTTGTTAATATGAGTCAATATTACCATAAATTTGTCAGTAATTAATGAAGAACATGTAATAATGTAATATGTTTCATTATAATCAGCATGATTTGGACTGACATATTGATGTTAATAATAGGTTTTTATAGTCACAGTCACAATAGTGTCATATACCATATTATTTAAACACAAAATGTATCATAGAATTTTCGTCAAAATTCCAGACTATTGTTTTTAAAATCATGTGATGTCATTTTTTTTTTTATAACTAAGAAGTTACGCCAATAAAGCCAATAAATAACATTCAGTTAACATTTTGAAAAATATCATGTGAAAGATAAACCGATATGTTAATTTAAAATAAAACAGTTTACGATAGATTTCTGAGAAACTTTTCTTTTTTATGGTATGTGCTTTCTATTTTATTGTGTTTTCTTCTTTTTTAGAATTATATAACATATAAAATTTATTTTCTAGTGCCTGATATTTCATGACAGTATTTACACGTGGAACTATTTGGAATGGAGTAAACGATGATGCAATTTATGTTTGTTTACGGTTGGATTATCATATTGGTGCACTGTGGTAAGTGGTAACATCTCAACTATTTTTTAAATATTTGTAAACCATTTCGAAGGCAGCGACAGTTTGAACTAGGTCTATATAATTTAATATGGAGGAACACCATACTCCTTTCTGAAAATAAGGATCAGCAAAATTATATATATTCAGAACGTTATACAAATCGTAGCCCTAAATACCAAAAAAAAAGCGAAGAATTTATGTAAAACTTCTATGAAAGCTTTTGGCGGTTTAGGGCGTGAAGCAGAAGTTCGTCGCATTAACAATAATTAACTTTCTTAGTAGTGCAATATAAATATTAAATCAAGACCTGAAAGTTAAACTGGTAAAGAAAGAAAATTCGAGAATTTTTATTTGAAATTCTGGCTCGTTTTCTACCAAAGTTTTCCAAGACTTCCAGTTCTTTTAATGAAATCATTTTAAGTACAAGATTTATAACTTTTATATTATTGATGTTACGAAATTAAAATGTAAAGTTAAAATGTAAAGTTGTATTATTAAAATTATCAATGTAAAAAGAATTAAGAAATATAAGTCGTGAAAAAACAAATACAAAAAAAAAAAAAAAAAATTATTTATGTGAAAAAAATTACATGATATGATTATAATCTTGATACTTACTTTATTACCAGATTGTAAGAGTAAATAAATAAATACGCTTTAATTCTTTCTTTTTAAGTTTCAGCCAAACGACTTCTCTAATATAAATACCATTTCTATTTTATATAGCCTTCCATGTTTGTCTTGAATTTTTTTTTGTGGTAAGTTGTGACTGGGCAACATCACGAGAATTTACGTAAATTTTACGATAATTGTTTCCGTCAGACATCTCCTTGTAATAAACTAGCGAAGGAGGAACCACCATCTTTTTTTTTATGGACTCTTGAAATATACTGGTGTAATAAAGTTTTATTATTAATTCAACTGTAATTATTATATGGCTCAAAAAATATTAATAGCTCGGTTAATTTGTAATGAATAAATAATAATATTTTTAATAATAAATATAAAAAGTTCGTGTATTTATAACGATAACTTAATAAATACATTGGATTATTTGAATATTTTAAAATAAAATCAAATTATCTGATTATTTATTTACAAGATAATTAATATATGATTAATTTAATTAGATTAAAATTATCGTTAAATTTTGTTACGAAATAATTTTACGAGAAAGTCGAAACCTGAAAGTCGAAGCCCTATATGAAAATAATAACGATTTTCGATGTCATTATGATCGACGCTTGAGACGGAAATGATCCACGAAAAGCTCTTAACGTTAAAACAACCGAAGAAAAGGGATTACATCATTACAAATTTCCAGAAAATAGAAAATCAACGACAATAATATAGTTGAGCGAAGTTGGATTCTGGGAAATCCCTAGAACTTCGGTCAAATTTTTCTTGTCGTTACATTCGAGTTCAGCTGCAATCTATAAATTATAACACTGAGACTTTAGTATATTTGTATATATAATATAGCAAGTTTTGAAAATTTATTTACCAATTTTAAGTCATCTCGAGTCAAATGAGAAGAATTAATTAATTCTTTTAATATAACTTTTAAATCTTTGATTCTAGTAGGTTCATTTTTCCATGTAGCAAAATAATTTATATAATTAATATCATCATTTGGGATAGATGTTATATTATTAAAATTACTATATGGTATCCAAGGTATTTTTGTAATTTTTCGTTGCTTAGTTAATTCCAAATTTAATTCATCAAAAGGATCAGGCCGTAAAGAGAATGAAGAATATGATTCACTTAATTTTAATTCAAAATCTTGTGACTTTTTGCTGACACTGCAGCCCATGGTAAACTATTATTTGTTTTTTTAACAAAATTTATGTATATAATTTTTTTTTTTAAAAAAAGTGAAAATTATCTCATCCACCATCCATATTTATATTAGATCCTTAGATCATTACTTTATTGTTTCAGAACGTAATCATTAATTTTATCATTTACACTAGCTTTTTAACAATCACATATTTTTTGTATTGTTTGGTCTACAACAAGATTTAATCATTTCCAATAATATGAATCCCAAAATCGTTTCATTGATAATAAGACGATTTTTCCTTAATAGGTAAACGCTAATACATTATGGGATGAACATTTACTAAAATTTTTTTGATTGGATATTATTTTATTCATCAACGAATAAATTTCGTTCTATTTTTCTTTATGGAATCAGGTTAAAAATAAAAAATAAGGGGTAAAACCTATTTTTTAACAATAGCACGTTTTTTTCGAGTGACCACACGCAATATGTACTATACTAATTTAGTTAATTTTGATTTTTTTTAGTAATTAGATCATTATATTAAAATTGTGATATGCATAATTTATTAACAATTATATTATATTCCTTTAAATCTTTTTCGTATAATGAAAAAGGAGGGTTTCAATATATATATCTTGAAGGTTTTTTTTTGTAATTGATTCCGAAATTGGTAATTCCTTAAACGAATAAGATGATCATGTTGTAGTATTATCCTGCAGCTTACGCAATTCTCTAAAGAACTTTTTTTTTTTTTAAAGCAAATAAAACAAATAAACAAATAAAGTTCCGAAATTCTAAATTTACTGTACATATTAATAAGCATACTTTTATCTACTCTACAGGTTTATTTGGAAGATTTTTGTATACCGTTTTTTAACTTTTTTTAAACATTAAACGTCAGGATAGAATAATATTATTTAGAAATGATTAGCGTAACAACGCAGTAGTTGTGATCCCATTAACTATTGGTTCGTATACGCCACTACACATGTTTGGTCATGTGATTTAAAAATGTACAAATCATCTTACAATTATTTGAGTGGCTTATAACAAACATAACAAACACTCTTAAGCCACTCAGGTCTCAGGGAAAACCCATTGTACATTTGGCCATGACATATATATCTTAGCAAATTTAAAATAAATAACCTCCTTTATTTTAGGGGCTTATTACATACACAAACGGAATGAAAAAAAAGTTTTTTGTTGATTTTGATTATCATGTATAAAAAGCCCCATCTTTTGCACAAAGCCACGATGATTGCATTTTATATTTATACTTCACTTATTCCTTATAGACTAAATCTTTCTTTTTTTTTCTGTCTCATGAAATAAAATTACTGTATATACATTTCATAATTTCCCAATAACACCTAAATATTATATAATAAATGATCAAATCAAAAACATTTGTTTATTTTTTTATTTAAATAATATTATCAATAAAGTCCGCCCTCATAGTGATACACTAATATAATTTCTTCATATAACACTATAACATAAAATAATTAAAATAATTACATAAATTAAGGATTATATACATCCATCATTTCATCATGTTTACAGGAAGATCAAATCATCAATTTCATCAATTATAAAATATTAAAAAAGATGAAAATAGCAATCCCCTAAGCGGATATCATGGGTATTCATTCATGATCCTAAGACAACACTGACAAAACCACCAAAACAATATTTTCAAAGGGAGAATAGAAAGAGACTTTTTCAATGAATATTCAAAAGAAACAAAAAATATATATTTGATAATAAAGAAAGTCTCTTTTTCAACAAACATATATTATTTATTAAATATCAAATGTGGCTTCGCAATTTTATTGTATAAACATATCTTCTGATTGTTAGATTATTTGAGACTCTAATTCAACAATAAGACTTCCAAAACACAGGAGAGGGTAGCTTGAAGACGCTGTTGATACGATAAATTAGAACTGCTAATTAATTAATTTCTATATTTAAGAATGTTAATATACAATAAGATCTATAATTTTAAAGATTAAGTAACAGTTTTATAAAAATTTAATATTAATGAAATTTTCAATCCCATTCACGATTTCAAATTCTGTGCTGGTCTATAATTGGCTCATGGACGAAATTGAAAAAATTTTCATTCAAATATGAATTATTTCGATATCAATTCTATATAAAGACTGCCACCTAGAAACAATATACATAACAAAATTGGGCTGTACTGGAATTCAAAAGTATTCTCAACAATTTTTTAAACTAAACTCTTCATAATGTTTATTTTTTTAAGTTGGCTTATATTTTATTCATAAATATATCAACTATATTCTACAAAGAATATCAAATCCAATTAGCCATCATGCTAGTTTTATGATGTCATGGTGCTGGTTACACCAAGGATCATTACATGGTGCTAGTTACACCAAAGGTCATTACCCAGATGGCTCATATTATTATCTTCAATTTATTTTGTGCTATTGGTTATCATCACAACAATCTCAAGATAATACTAAGAAAAAAGTTTGTAAAAGTGATACTGAGTATGAAGACGATGTTGATAAAGTATTAGCAAAATCATCGCAACAATCGCAACAGATCCAACAGCTGACAAGATATTATCAGTCAACAACAGCAAATAAATAAGACTCAATGGAAAACAAAAACCTTGCTCATGAGAGTAGAATTAGTAGAATATTCCTAGAATTGGCATTATTGTGTTTTATGCCATTCAACTAATGGAAAAAGAGTCCCAAAAATTAACCCAAAGGGCAGTTATATTTAATCAAAAGTATCACTACTATTTTTGCTCCTATTTCTATTACTCAAATTGTTGGATTTCTCATTAATTATGTCATTAAAGAATTGTATGTTATATTTATACTCTTATAATAATTTGAAATTATATTTATTTAAATAGTACCCAAATTTTTAATTATGAGATTATTATTAGTTGCACAAATGGATTTTGAATGTTAAGGAAATCTTATTGAAAAGTGATATCATTGGACTTTATAATTTCTCTATGATATTGCATGTTCACTATCATAATATAAAACTACAAGCAATAGATTTACATTAGTTCTAATAATGCCAACAATTCAAATATTTGCATTTTTCTTTATAGCACAAAGTTAAGTTATCTGATATGGATCTAGTCATTACTTTTCTACCTTGAAAAAGATCAGAGATTAATACACTTACTGTAGAATTGATCTGAAGACTATAAAAAAAGGATTATCAGCAATATTTTATTACATATATTAAATTCTTTAAACTCTGAAATCCAAAGTTGTGACACAGAAATTATATTCTAAAAGAATTTATTTTGGATGATGGATGGCACATTTATTCCTAAAAATGATGTATTTTTTTCATTCCATTTAAATAATTTGATACCATTACACGATGAAGACTTCAATTACAATAAAAAGAATTGATGTGCTGAATTTGTAGCTATAGATGAAATTGATAAAGCCAACACTATTTCACAAATATAATTATTCTAAATAATTATTATTATAATTTCAATCTTAACCCATCAAAATATTTGAAATGATTTAAAGTATTATATCTATAAAAATGGCTATTATACAAATATTCTCCAAATTACTAAGGTTAAATGGAAAGTAGGCTCTTAAAGAAATAAACTATTTAAGAAGTTTTATTACTTATACCACTATATTTACTGGTAGGCATAATCTTATTACAGATAATGAAATTTATTATATTGTGCATGGACAATTTTATATTATAAAATGTGCTATCAGCATTAATAATCTTGAAAATTATTCAAATTTGCTGAGTTTAATTAGATAAATCAATTTATCAATTCTGATTACTTAGAAGAAGAAGTGAATGGTGAAGTCTTTCATTTATACCTCATCTGTTATATTTCACAATTAAATCATGCAACAATAATGGACAAATTTGTAAATACTGGAATTTCCTTCATGGTATACAGCAATTAATTTAAGTAATCCTATTGTGGTGGATTCATATGGTTTGAATAGGCAAATAAAAACTATTAATTTGAATATTTCATGAATTGGATCCAAATTATTCTTTATCCTTTATACTATTTTTTAACAAAATGCAAAAAAACTTTTGCATTTATTTAAACACAACAATTAACAAAAATTAAACAAATAATAATAATAAGTTAATTTTTGTGTTTAAACGCATTATTTGTACACATTCCATTTTTATATAACTTGGCAAAGGATATCTTAGAAATTCCTGAAACAAGAAATTCTCGTAAAAATGATATAGAACTATGGGCACAGTATAATAAAGATAAATCATATTGAAATTATAGATATACTATATTTTAAAGATAACTCATAGAATGTTATATAAAATTTATTATCAATTATTATGAAATCTACACACTAATTAAAGTGTCTTTATATGATACCTATCTTTAGCATTAATGAATAATGGAGGTATTGATACATTATTTGAATTTGTAAGGGAAACCATTCACATTTCTTGGAATGGCAAGAATTTGTCTGATATCAAGGATTTAGATAGCATAAAATCCCTTCCAAAAGCATTAGCATTACTTGTCTATTGATCAATTACATCAATATTTTCATATTAAATCTAAGTGTACCTATGAAAGTGAAAAAATGGAATTTGCCCAAAATGATATTATTATCAATAACAATCCTTCAAAGGTTGTAACAGAGGGTTTAATTAAACTTACATCTAGGTGATATATTGTGGTAAACTATATATCTAATTTTTCATCTCATAATATATATTAAATAGGCTAATAACATATTTATTCCAAGAAATATTAGTATTATTTTATTTTAGAAAATCTATGGAAACAAAAACATTTTTACATTAATATTTAAAGAGGTAGCAAACTGAATAAATATACTGGCACATGGCTTTAAGACACTTTAGAGATGTTAGCGTCATATTAGGATAAAGTTCAGCACATCTACATGGATGGGTTCATTTTAAAGGAGCATCCAAACTTATTATTTGCCCAGATGACATTTTCCCAAAAATGAATTGATAAAGTCAAGAAAAATCATTATTTAGAAAAGTTCAATTAAATTAATATCTTTTATCAGAAAAAATATAGCTAAGCCCTTATGGTCCTGTATTTCCAGGCTCTGCTATACCTTGATCTTACACATGTACAAAGTAAAAATAGGTATATATATATTGCTTATTTTTCCTTTTCTTTATCCTTGGAAATAATTGGATGAGGAAAGTCAATGCCACCTTTGACTGGGATAAAAGAACCTTAACTATTAGAAGCTAGGTTCTTACTATCCCAAAGTCTATTAAAATGACTCAATCATTTGAATATGAATATGAAGAAAGAATATGAATCAGAGGAATTAGAAGAAGCTCAAATTTACATGTCCAATTTTCTATCTTTCCTACAAAAGAAGCAACCTTATTTTTTTCCTTCAAGATCAATTTAATTAATGAATCTACATTTAATTACAATATTCTTGCTCCTATTTTAAAATTTATTGCACCAAGTTTTTTCAGGCAATAGAGTCAATACAAAGCTTATCTGCAAAGATAGAGAAGCATTGAATTATTAGCAACTACAAACTGTCCAATATTATGCAATACTAATTATCAATTTTTTATAAATGTCAAACCTGTCAGACTTAGTAGGGGATTATTTTAAGAATAATAAATTTGTCAATTGTAAACACAAAAAGATAGTTGAATATTTATTAGCAGAAACATCTGAAGACGTTATAATCAATCGTATTGATACAAATAAACATTTTCTACAAAATTTTGACTATTATCAGCAACTTCATCCTGAAAAATTATAGATTGTCCATTTATTTCAAACCATTTCTCTCATAATGATGACCTAGAATTGTATAAAACTATAACAAACCCTGTTGGTAATGACAAAGAATGATTATAAGATTTGTGCTCTTCTCAACTTTGGATAAAGGTAAGCCAAGCTCATCTCAATCATTAAAATGATTGAAGTGGGTTGGTTAGGGTTATGGTTAGGGATTTTATTATAATGGTGGTGCACTTGAAGTTGTATATAAAATTTGTGAAAAAAATGAAAATTTACCCAGCTGGTGGATTTCATCCACCTGGGTTACTCAACAATCATATAGTAATGATAACAAAGAAGAGAAATACTTTTGCAACACATGATTACAGCATAAGTAGAGGAACTAAGGCAAGGATTCCAGGATTCCTGCTCATATTTAATAAGGCTATATCATAATAATCAATATTTAAGATTAAAAATGCAAATTTTCATTCATTTGATGGAATAGTTTTTACATCTCCTTAATATCAAAAAAAAAAGAATTTTTTTTATTTAGATACCAAGATTTAATAATATCTTGGGAATGATGATATAACTATTGGAAATATTATTAATTGATCTCATAACAAATTAATAATAGAGTAACATATAGAAATTAGAAATGAACTAGTACAAAATACAGAAGTTTATTAATGGAATTTTAAAATCTCGACATTTAAGCTTTAGAAATGGCTTATAGTTTGCTTTAAAGCATAATGTTATTTTTATTATTAACAAAAGAAATATTATTCTCGAAAAAATGGCATCATTTGTAAAATTCAGTTTATATTTTGTATTTTTCAAAGAAAATATATAAACCATTCCAATATAACTCTGACTCTAACTTTAACCTTAACTCTAACAATATAACCTATATACCAAAACAAAAATGAATAATTAAATCAAAGATAATAAACCCACATATTACTAAGATATAGAAATGGAAAACATATAAAGAAGAACATATAGATTTGTCTATAGATCTTATAATATTTACAATAAACAACTCCAACTTTCTGAAGCTTCAACTGAAATGAGTCATGCTCGTACAGATCTTATGGATTTTGTTTTTATAAAGCAATAAGTGAAAGTTTTAATGAATTCACAGATTTTTCTATATGAATTGTTAAGTTTCTTGTGAAAATAATTTATATCTTCACTTTACTGGTCAAGCGATGACCCAAAATTAAAGAGCTTAATATTATCCACTTTTGGCATGATAAGAAATATAACCTACAATACCCTCTGCACATTTTAACTAAAATTCATGGAAAAAGAATTAAATGATAGAAATATAATTTCAACCACTCTATCAGTTATTTGGAGTAAAACTCAATAAGATCTCACTTTTTTTAAAAAATCAATAAATATTATTATGTGTTAAGATTTGTTTTATTTATTATACCTTATTCAATTCCTTTTTTAACTTTCAATACTTAAGTCACAAGTTTTATGATTCTTATTCATGATTTTTTTTAAACAAAATCACAAATTTTTATAATTACTATAGTTCTAATGATTATTTTATTACCAGTCAATACTTCTGAAAATATTTATAATATTTTATGGAAAATATAGAATATGTAGAGTTTAAATAATTCCTTTAGTGATTTTAAGAACAAAACAAAAAGACTGCTTCAAAGCTCTTAAAGCAAAATGTATGAAATTCACATACAAAAGTATTATTAGGAGCTTGGTATTTGAATAAAAATATGTGTGGAGTATTGATAAATATATTTTCAGGATATGGCATATTCAATTTAGCTGTGTCTCTTAGTGCTAAATATTTATCAAATTTTCAGAAATGTATTGATTATAGGGCTACATCAAGAACTTTAGACCTTATTTGGACTATTGACCATAAAATTTCTAAAAAATGGGTATTTTATACAAGGTTTATAGAAGTATTTCTCTAATATAGTCAGTCATCTGTATATGGTGCTTTTATACTCTCAGAGCTGTTCAACATTGATATGATTGGTTTATTGAGCAAGATATTAATATAATAAAAAGAAATGGAAAAACTGCACAAATCAGATATATATGCTACATTTATATGGATCTATGCCTTCTTTGTAATTACTATGGCCAAAAGTTAATCAAGATTTAAAACAATGGAATCATTATACAATAATTCAAATATATTTATACATGAAGCAATTGTATTTAGCCATTCTGAAGTGAAATTTATTTGATATAGCAAATTTACATTTCAACTTTAATATGCCATATTATTAGCATGATGTATAAGTAATAGATGTATATATAAAATCCTTTTAAGAGACTATAATAAAAATGAATAACAATATAGTTCTCTTCTTAGATTACAGTCTCATTCAAATCATAACAGATATTCCATATAAAAATCAGAAATCTTATATCAAAAGTAATCAAAAGAGTAATACATAACTATTGTGCACTGCATGCTTGCCACACCATACTTACTCAGATGCTAAGGATGTCTTAAAAACTGGAGTAAGAAACATAAAAGAGAATAAAAAAAAGTGTGTAAAAATGGATTCAGTATTGTGCCTTTTTGTTCTTGTGATCAATATGTTCTTTTTCAGCCTGTAGACAGTGTGTTCTGACTTACATCTTGACAATTCTAGTCCACTTGGAAGACTGTAAATTTTCTTAGTATTATTCAACTTCAGTTTTGCCAGCTTGTACAACTGTTGGAGGAAAGGATCCTCTTCATGCCTTTGAATATGGTTCCTATCCAGAACCTGATGTTAAGCTAAATCAGCCAATTAACCATAAGGTTGTTATTAATAAAGTGAGATGAATTCTTGAGCCAATCTCTGACTATAGCATTTATCACATTATTGTTGAAACCACAGAAATGGGAAGACCACAGTGGTTCAGCAGTATGCTAGGGAAGTTGGAAAAGAGGCCATTTATATTGATGTCCCCCTATATTGGATAACTTCATTAATAATTTTGAAATGGCTATTGGATTCAAGTTCATTAAAAACTAGTTTTAGAATGGATTAATCATCACAATAATGCAATAATGCAATTTGATATTTGCTGGAATTTGAATCACATTCCTTTTTACAATTAGACAAGTCATGATCTAATTTTGTCAATACACTTTTATTGCTTTCTTTGGAATCAATCAAGGTTCATTGTCAACACAAATCTCAATAGACCACCTAATGAAATAAGACATGACATATTTGATCATTTTTTCTAACAATTAAAAATGTTAGAAACTAACAAGAAAATCATATATGAATGTATAGTTCTCTACTCATTACTCAAGACTAATATTTGAAAGACATCACATAATCCTTCAATACTGTTAAAATTAAAAAACATCACTTCATTTTAATTAATACCTTAGCTTAAAGATAGGAAAAATTGCTTAAGTAAATATTTTTTTTAATGAAATCATCAGACAATACCACAGTATATGACTATAAAGACACAAATACAAACAAAAAGAAAAACATCTATTCATAATACTAACATTTTCAAACTCATTAAACTACCATTAAAATAATTAATGAAAATGAGAATTTTTCATAGATTATATCATCCTAAGAAAGCAACATAGGTATATGACTGAAAAGAACTAAGAGCTAAGTGTTGGTATCAAAATTTGTTGTATTCTCCAGAAGGTACTTGCTATCTTTGTCAGGATACTTCATAGAGGAAATGAGTAAAGGGAGATTTGATGATCAAAATAGGGATGATTAACATCCAACAGGGATTAAATCAAAAAAAAATCAAGACATAATTAATTATTTCTTAACTCACAATTATAATATCTTAGGATTGGCAAAAACTTAAACTCTTAAAGTTTAAAGAAAGAGGAAAATTAAATGTAGAATTTTTATGATAAATATCATACAATATTGTGATTTATAATATCATCCTGTAAAACTTTATTTGATATTTTAATGAAACAATGCACCAACTGTTAAGATTGCTGAATGGAATGAAGTCAAGCACAAAAATGCAAGCTGTTTTAAAAAAATATATATTTATATATTTTCTTCTTATGATGCACTTTTCACTAAAGGCAAAGCTTTTGCAAAAAGTTAGCTTACCTTTCTTGATAAAGGTTTTTTTTTATACTACCTTATTTATATATTTCTTAATCAATTTAAGAGTTTTCAAATAGAATATATATATGAAAGTAAGATTTAAATATAAGAGTAACAAATACTCCAAAGAAATTAAATTTGACCATAAAAAAAACAATATAAGATGCTTGGCCCATATAATAAATTTAATGGTACAAGAGATCTTAAAAAATATAAAGGCTGGAGATGGTCAAGAAGAAGTCATTGCATAAAATTAAAGTGGTATATAAATATTAGAAATTTTCAATTAATGAAACATTATTACTTATTTATAGAAGTTGGAAACTTCATTGTATTTCATCAGAAATGACAATAAAATCTTTAGTGAAGTCCAGTAACAAAAGAGTTAAAGAATTAGTAATTTAGAATTTTCAAATATAATACATATATATGAAAGTAAGATTTAATTCTTCCTTCATGAAAATTAAAGTAGTACATGAAATATTGGAACTTGGAAGTTTCCAATTAAAAGACATTACTGCTTATTTGAAACTTCACCTTATATCATCAGAAATGACCAAATCTTTAGTGAAGTCCAGTAACAAAAGAGTTAAAGGAGGAATTTTTAAATCTTCAATTGAACCTGTTTACTATAAAATCATTTGGTCACAAGACTACAAATATATATAAATAAAAGAGAAGCATGGGAAGCTCAAGTTAAGGTTTTTATTCAACAGGAAAAAATTAAGGATTTAAAGGAGGATATAGATCAGTTGATGAAAAAAAATAAAAATTTAGAAAACATTAATAGTACTTGTCAAGAGTTTTCACTAAAAAACCAAATGCTCTGGAAAAATTATTGAAATACCAATAATGAAATCAACAATATCATTATATCACTTTTATTTATTATACAGAACAATAGAATATTATACACAATTACTACTATACATATCCATCAGTAATAATTATTTCTAAATATCACAACCTTTGAAATAATTAAAACATCAAAATGGAGTTACTTTAAATTCATTTCATTTTTGATACTAAAATCATAACACACCACTTTTTAATATGGCAAATTTTGTAGCTAAAGATTTAAATTTAGATTTATTACATAATGAGTAGACTTCAATTAGCATATAATTAAGAAGTCAATTAGTGAAAATTGCTACCTTTAAGCCTAATAATTTAAACAATTGTAAAACAATTATTAAAAGGGAAAGATATATATAAGAGGGCTGATGTAGTAAATCAAATTTTCAGATAAAATCAAATTTTTTCAAACTTATCAAATGTCTTACCAGATGTGCCCAAATTTTATTAATACTCCCTTTAATAATAATTTTCTTGATAAATGCCATCCTCACCATTTTCAATTCGTTACTGAACCATTTACCTTCCAATATTTGCCAATATTATTTATCACTTACCTATACATTCTTTTTGCTTTTTTATTGCTTATATACACAACAAAGACAATGCTAGGTTCAGAGATGGTGGTCAAGGTCATGGTCATAGCTGTGGGTGGTCATAGTTGTAGTCATGGTCATAGTCATAGACTCATAGTTGTGGTGGTTATGGTCATATTTTATCTTTATTAAGTGGAAAAGACATTTATGTGTCAATAATTTCTATGATTTTAATATTAATTACATACAGATTTTTATCATAAACTATTTATTTATTTAAACCTGAAGTAAAGTTTATTGAAACTTCTCTACATATTGATTCAAACCCTCAATATAAAAATTAAATATAAACCTTCAAATCATAGAACAATAAGCTATAGAACATATTTATATAGTATTAATTTACTTTTAATGGATGAGCTTCCTGAAAAAAATATTAATTTACTTGTAATGGATAAGCTTTCTGAAAAATTAAATATACTTTCAAATGCAATTGGACAAATACTATATTTTATTATGAAAATTGTTTTAATTATTTTCACAATAAATTAACTTATTTCATTGTTCTATATATCTCAAAAATCTTTAATTCCAAATTAAATGAAATTAAATTACCACAATTATGTAAAAGAAAATATGAACCTCACAGTAAAATTCTCTGAATGATTAGATTAAGCAGTTCCCATCTTAGAATTATTAGTGAAAGCACCTTACTCTAGGTTGGATAAACACTTTGCACAAAAATAATAATTATATATATTTATAGTTCAAAAAAAAAAAATGTCTACTAATGAAACAAAAAAATTAGCTAAAATGTTAGAAAAACCCGAAAACGAATTTTTTACTGAACATTTTCAGATTTTTATATTAAACTACAGATATACAATACAGCCCAAGCAGTTCTTTTACAAATAATGAAAGATATGTTTTTGATCATGTTATTATAGTCAACAACTTCAGCCTTTTGAGTTATTATGAATTGTTACTTTCTTATATTCTATCTTACATTTATGGAACATTGGTATTAGATCTGCTACCGAAATACAACATAGGAATATATATATATACTGGATAATATTAATACTATGAATATTGTAAGCACCAGAATATATGCAGAAAACAAAGAACACATTCTTTGATTTCAGATGGCATATTTCTCAATTAATAATAATAACCTTATAATAAATGCAGTGTTGAAGGTAATATTGCAAAATATAATAATATAGCTTAATCATTATTTCTTCTCAAATCTTAATACTTATGAGGAACTTTAGACTGGATCACTTATTTTATTATTATTATAGTAAATAGGACTTAGTTTTGGAAAGTCTCTAATGGACCATTTATTAAAACCTGAGAAAGTGAAGTCCATGCTCAAAATGATCAGAAAAAAACATTAAATGAATGGCAAATTTTTTAAAACAAACCATAGTTGATTTTTAAGTTGAAGATATTTTCAAGAATCAGAACTAATTTTATTTGGAATAAGCACTTATGATAACATATTTCCAATAATTTAATTGTTTTAATTAAAAATTAATCAAATGCTTTATTAGCTATTATGTATATAGTGAAAATAAAATGATAATTTTTGGTAAAATTTTAATAATTATTCAGCCTTTATGCTGCTCTGTAAGATTCAAATATTAAATATAAATGCAGCATAAATATTAATTCATTCAAATATACATCATACAATTTATTCCTATACAAGAAAAATTGATAGTCTAACAAAAAAGCAAAAATATTTGAAATCTCTTCCCTCTTCCGCCTGGGTCCCATCATCAGAATCTGACGATGACGACGATGTTAATAATGACATCATTAATGATGATGAACATAATCGTGATGATGATTACAATAGTGATGATGATGATAATAATAATAACGCAGCAGTATAAACCTGTTTGACTCTTCACTAAATGTTATCAAGGTCTTGGAGTTGCTGTACATAAAATAAATTCAGAGATTATTTTCCAAAGGTTAACATATTACTACAAAAATTCCAAGCATCTATATATTAACCCTGAGCATATTTGTAGATATTCTTTGTAAAATAAAGTGTCTATAGTGCTGAAATATGTAGACTTTTTATCTATTGGATTAAAAACTCCCACATTAATGGTAAAGTAACTGTGCAATGGCATTTGAAACACAAGAGCAATAACCACTATTTGTACTGTATAAATAAGCCCTTTAAAGATAATATGTGAAAGAAATCCCTATAAAAAAAATTCTGAAAAAAACTCCAATAAATAGAAAAGTTTTATATAGGGAATGACATAAATGGATGTGTCAAGGTGGTGCTCTGGTTTAACAGCAAATGGTAACTTAAAGAGAGCAAGAATTAGTGATGTTTGCAGATGGGTGAAACATTCATGGGATGCAGTGTAATTTTACATTAAAATATCCTGATCAAAGTAACAACCTAAT